GCAGTGACAAAAACACTTTTAATTGCTTTATTTTCCAAACGTGCCAGGCACATGGAAATGGAAATGGGATCGAGAATGAGTACGATCCTTCTTCTTTATTTATTGCAAACAAATGAGAAGTATCCACTTACAGTGCATCCAATTGCCGTTGCAATTGTAAGTGCCCCTGCCCCTTAAAATGTTGCCCGAAAGTCATTGAGAAGTCACAGATGATTTGACTTTTACGATGGTGTTTGTACCCACCGAAGTGCGGGTCTGAGTTCTCGGGGGGTAGGTTAATGAAACATCGACAATTGAATGGGAATTTTCGTGTTGCAAACAGGGGAAAACGCGGCCGAAATCTGCGAGCAAAAATTGATGGCGATGTTGTGGGTATATTCCCGTTTTTTTTGACTACCCGTGGGATCTACACTTATTTTTGAAGAATTCCACACACATCTACATTCGATGTGGGTTTGATTTATACTTTTTTGTTTGATATACAATTTTGTGAATTACCAAATAATGATTGGTATACTATTTCACTCATTGTAACAAAAATACTTTAAAAAGTGCTTAGAAAACCATATAAAGTATATTTTGTTAATCAAGAATTGTAAACCTCTTTTTCTGTCATGTGTTAAATGATTTTATTAGCTGTAAACATTTATTGGAAATTTCTTTCAAGTTGTGACATATTTTGTTGTTTAACATGCCTGTAATTATATAGTTTTCTTATCGCGTAGTAATATATTCCTTTAAACATTGACTAGTTCTTACTATTAGAGAATTGATATGCTCGCACCCCAATCCTAGCTATTAGAACCCATTACAATCGCCAGTGATCGCGACCAATTTGAAATGTCTGCCCCACACGGAGACATTACAGCGTTTCAAATAACAAAATAAGGACGAAAACGATGTGCGTACGTTGTGGCACAGCATTTACACATGTAAATCGGGGTCCACGGATCTCGTAACCCCAGCCCAAAACCATAACCCCAAGGAAAACAAGCCGAGTGACAACTGAAAAGGCACAAATTTATATGTAAACGATGGAAAACTGATCAACATATATAATTACCGAAATTTTCCATGGGTAACGTGTGAACCGGGAACGGAAAACGGGAACGGGAACGTGAACGTGATCTGTGGTTAGGGAGGGGGGTGGAGACGAAGATGGGCAGGGGAGGGGGGAGGGACGGTCCGCAGATAATGTGGAGTAGGAAAACCGTTGACAACAACGCGGAGATTATGAAAATCTTTGGTCATTGGGTTACGGGGAGAACGGGGACAAAAAGCGAGGGATCAGGGGTTAGTTTCATATTAACATAATCAATGGGGTACAGTGGACACTCGATACAGGGACCCTTTCATATATAATGCACGATCTAAGTTGTCATTGTCTTTATTCATTCTTATTTTTAAATAGCTTAGTGGTTTACCTAAAAGTGTTTTGTGTAATTGGCTATTATATACTATTATTTTAGCTTACAAAGGCATTCAATTGTCTATGATCGGGGGGAAACTCCTCTGGATTCCTTCACTCCCATCGTCCACTGTGTTCTCTAAGGGTTCAACTTAGTATCTACTTGAATGCACTTACGGAAAATCTCCAATCAGCAGCCACGACCCCCTACTGATGAGAGTTTCTCGGTCTCGGTTTCTCCGATTTTTAACGGCATGTGAGCCCCGAAAAAAAAGGGAAAAGATACTGAAAGACGAACGGACTTGATATTCGAGCGTTTCGGGGGAGGGGGGGTCTCGAAACCTGGAAACCTCGGTGAAGTGGCAAAAGCGACGTGAAACGTTTTCCACAAAAAAGGATAATAACAAACGATCCGGCCGGCGAGCACTAACGCATATCAATGGATCGCCAGCGAGGAGGTCGAAGGAAACGTTTAACGCTAAACACTTGAGAGACCAGCCCGAAAATCGAAAAAAATAAAAATAAAGGAGGAACCCGAAAAAGAGCGGAGATGAATACTTATGGAGGCATGTCTTATCTGCTGGCACATAAAGTGCCAAAAATTATGGCAAGAGGAAATTGAACGCATTGTCTGTCAAAGTCAAGAGGCGACGTGAAGTCTTGGGACCCGAATCGCATTGCAAGTACCATAATGTTGAGCACTATAAAAGCGTATAGCAATCAAAAGCCATAGTGAATACTAACATAAATCAAAATGAAATGACTATTGGCTATTTCGCCAAAATTCGCTGGAAAAAACCTGCCGCAACGAAGTAATATGTTTGAAATTTGTTTCTCTTTAATGTTTTGTATAAACATTGTTTTAAATGTCGCTGTTTTATTAATTCAAATTAAAGGTTGCTAAAAATTACAAATCTATAAATTTTTTTTTTAAATTAATAAACATATTTCAGAGCTGATTATTTTATCTTTACATTAAAATCGTGAAAACATTGAAACTACAAGCAGAAAAAGCGACATCTAGCGTCGTCTAATGATACTAACTATTTGACACGTTTTTTACATTGGTATATTATACTTCACTCAATTCTTTTAAAAACTAAAGGGCTGCGTTTTCATTTTGGCTTTTATTTTCGATTTTTCGTTTCCACCTTTCCAAATTTTAAAAAAATTGCTTTGCTGAAAAGTGGCCAAAATCTTGCACTAGCCCATAACTTTTCTTACAGATATCCGAATTCGAAGTGACATACCTCAAACTGATTGTGGTTTAATTCCCTAAAAATCTGTGTTCCCACTTTTTTTTGTATTTTTGGGTCGATATTTTCGACATTTTAATTTCCAAATTTTCAAAAAATGGCTTTGCTGAAAAGTGGCCAAAATCTTGCAGTTCTTAGCCCATAACTTTTCTTACAGATATCCGAATTCAAAATGGCATACCTCAAAATGACTGTGGTTTCATTCCCTAAACATCTGTGTTCCCACTTTTTTTTGTATTTTTGGGTCGATATTTTCAACATTTTAATAATGTAACCCCTTTCCAAATTTTCAAAAAATGGCTTTGCTGAAAAGTGGCCAAAATCTTGCAGTTCTTAGTCCATAACTTTTCTTACAGATATCCGAATTCAAAGTGGCGTACCTCAAATAGATTGTGGTTTCATTCCCTTAAAATCTGTGTTCCCACTTTTTTTTGTATTTTCGGGTCGGTATTTTTGACATTTGAATGATGTAACCCCTTTCCAAATTTTCAAAAAATGGCTTTGCTGAAAAGTGACCAAAATCTTGCACGTCTTAGCCTATAACTTTTCTTACAGATATCCGAATTCAAAGTGGCATACCTCAAAATGATTGTGGTTTCATTCCCTAAAAATCTGTGTTCCCACTTTTTTTTGTTTTTTTGGGTCAATATTTTCGACATTTTAATCATGTAACCCCTTTCCACATTTTCAAAAAATGGCTTTGCTGAAAAGTGGCCAAAATCTTGCAGTTCTTAGCCCATAACTTTTCTTACAGATATCCGAATTCAAAATGGCATACCTCAAATAGATTGTGGTTTCATTCCCTTAAAATCTGTGTTCCCACTTTTTTTTGTATTTTCGGGTCGGTATTTTTGACATTTTAATGATGTAACCCCTTTCCAAATTTTCAAAAAATGGCTTTGCTGAAAAGTGGCCAAAATCTTGCAGTTCTTAGCCCATAACTTTTCTTACAGATATCCGAATTCAAAGTGGCATACCTCAAAATGACTGTGGTTTCATTCCCTAAACATCTGTGTTCCCACTTTTTTTTGTATTTTTGGGTCGATATTTTCAACATTTTAATAATGTAACCCCTTTCCAAATTTTCAAAAAATGGCTTTGCTGAAAAGTGGCCAAAATCTTGCAGTTCTTAGCCCATAACTTTTCTTACAGATATCCGAATTCAAAATGGCATACCTCAAAATGACTGTGGTTTCATTCCCTAAACATCTGTGTTCCCACTTTTTTTTGTATTTTTGGGTCGATATTTTCGACATTTTAATGATGTAACCCCTTTCCAAATTTCCAAATAAATGGCTTTGCTGAAAAGTGGCCAAAATCTTGCAGTTCTTAGCCCATAACTTTTCTTACAGATATCCGAATTCAAAATGGCATACCTCAAATAGATTGTGGTTTCATTCCCTTAAAATCTGTGTTCCCACTTTTTTTTGTATTTTCGGGTCGGTATTTTTGACATTTTAATGATGTAACCCCTTTCCAAATTTTCAAAAAATGGCTTTGCTGAAAAGTGGCCAAAATCTTGCAGTTCTTAGCCCATAACTTTTCTTACAGATATCCGAATTCAAAGTGGCATACCTCAAAATGACTGTGGTTTCATTCCCTAAACATCTGTGTTCCCACTTTTTTTGTATTTTTGGGTCGATATTTTCAACATTTTAATAATGTAACCCCTTTCCAAATTTTCAAAAAATGGCTTTGCTGAAAAGTGGCCAAAATCTTGCAGTTCTTAGTCCATAACTTTTCTTACAGATATCCGAATTCAAAGTGGCATACCTCAAATAGATTGTGGTTTCATTTCCTTAAAATCTGTGTTCCCACTTTTTTTTGTATTTTCGGGTCGGTATTTTTGACATTTTAATGATGTAACCCCTTTCCAAATTTTCAAAAAATGGCTTTGCTGAAAAGTGTCCAAAATCATACAGTTCTTAGCCCATAACTTTTCTTACAGATATTCGAATTCAAAGTGGCATACCTCAAAATGATTGTGGTTTAATTCTCTTAAAATCTTTTAAATCGTTGTTTAAAGTTTAACGCAGTGAGGGGTCTTTTTAGTTGATACTGATTTGGGGACTGCCTAAAAGTGGGCAATACATTAGTGATCACTAAAAAGTGCCTGAGCGCAGAAGTATGCTACACGAATATCAAACGTAAGGGCGCGTTAAAGAAAAGGATCAACGTTCTGCGTATATTTAATAGTCGTTTTGTTGGAAAGGTCTTGAAGGAAACGTAATTTTAAGCTAAATAAAGTAATTGCAGAGGAAAACATAGGGCTTGCAGAGAATATGAGTCCATATATATCGCTGAAAAAGAAACTTTTATAAATAAACCAACTCGTATATTTTTAAATATTATCTTTTCATTTATTTAGATTCATTTATTTTTCATTTTCATTTCTCGTTTATATTCCATACTCATTCAAATCTGTTCATAATGCCATCTGCTCAATGTGTTATCATTTATCATTTGCCATGCGGTCTTGTTTAATGCCAAACAGAGTGACTTTTGTTCTTATATTTTATTAATGTTACTTACTCATTTGCATGCAATTATGTATTTGACTTTTGGTTTTGAGGGTAGATTTTCATTAATTTCATAAATGATTACGTTTTTCACATACATAACTACATAATGAGGGAGGCGAAACATAACCGAAACAATAACGAATCAACGAAAACCAGCTCGTAACTATATATTTTTTGGGTGACTTAGCCTGGGTAAGCCCTCTATGGTAAATAATTAGTCGATTTTCTGCTTTCATTTGTTCCATATTTCTGGCCTTTCAGTATTCTCCGTTCGAAATCCCCAGAATTTTGACCCAGCTAATCGCTTTCCCTTTTCGCTTCTGTGTGTGTGTCTTCTTTTGTGTGTGTGTGTTTCCTCTGTAGTTGTTGTTGTTGTTCTGGGTGAGCTCCTTGTAAATGTAATTGTATAAATTTCCAAAAAAAAATGCCTAACTGTTTGCCCAGTAACGCCAGCGTTACGTGATCTATATGTATATAATATCTCCCGATTCTCCACACGATTGAAATGCCGATTTGCGATACGAAAGGACTCGTTCAACTTCGGCATTTCAAGTGGCATGCTTTTTTCTAACAACCGTCGTCGCCAGCGCACATTTTATGGTATCTTTTTTAGTATCTTCTCAGTATAGTTTTTGTATATTTTGTTTTGTGTTTGGTTTCATTCTTTTTTTTTGTTTTGCTTTCGTCTTTGGTGTTTTCTCATTTCATTATAGTACAAAAACTTGCCATTTCAATATCGTTTGTATTATTTTCTCTCTCTTCTTTTTATTTTTTGGTATTTTTTGTGTTTTTGGTATTTTGCCAAGTTGTTGGTATCTTGTTTTCTTTTTTTTGTTGTCGCCTGCTTTATATAGTTATAGATACATGTAATACGTAATATATATTTTTATGTATAGTTATTAAGTTATCTCAAAAAAAAAAGTTCTCATTTACGGCTAACAGCACAAACAAACAGTTTTTCATTTGGTTTTCCTTCGGCAACTTGTCTCTTAATTCCCAAAAAATTTGGCCAACCTGTGCTACAAATGCTGATCTCTCGTTACCCATATAAATATTTATTTGCGTTAAATATTTTGTTTTTATATTCTGTATTTAAATAGTTATATACACTGATATAATTGGCGGCACGTCAATAGGGGAAAATCAGACAAAAATACAGGGGGGAGCAATTCGCATCGAGTGCCTCTACTAGACGTTTCAATTTCAGTCAAAAATTGAGTGGGGCTAAGGATACAGGATATAGATAGATGCCTATATAACTTGCTGGTATCATTCGGTTTTGCTTGGCATGTTTCTAACAATTACATTTAGATACTTTTCGATTTTTAACTATAAATTGCTTTTTCTTATGGGGGCTCTTTCTCCGGATGATTTTTACTGGGGGCTTGGACTTTAAGTTCTTCGAATTACACATACACGTACAACATCTGGTTAGGTTAAGTTTCAACTCGAGTATACATCAAATGTCCGTTACTGCATATATGCCTAGTATATAAGTGTAAATGTTCGGTTAATACTCTGGTAAATTACATAATCGTATAGCTACACTTGTACCAGTATCTCTGTTGGGGAATCTCTCTAGATTTATTTTTTTCCGGCTCTATGGTTCTACGGAAAGACTTCACTCGCAGGGAAATTCGTGTTACAAATACAATATATAGTAGTTCATTTTCTTCGGTTTCTTTTTGTGAGAGGAGAAAAAAGTCATTTGGTTTTGTTTGTTTTTTTTTTGTTTTTCTTTCTTTTATTTATTTCACTCAATTTGTTAAAGTAGCTTTTTGTTTTTTTTTTTTTTTGTTTAAGTTTGCCATGGACTTGCCGTCATTTTTGTTTTTTTCGCAACTATGGTTTAATTAATAATATATGTATGTAGGTAATATATCTTGTTGTATTTGCTGAAGGTTGGTTAAGTTTCGAAAAAAGTAAATCTGAAGCGCACATTTACAATGCTGCTTAAATTGCTATAAAGTATCTTGTTCTTCAACTTCTCTGCTCGTTTTTTTGTTTTATGATATTTTTAGACCATCAAGGTTCCATTTCATTTCATTACATTTCATTCACATATCATATCATATATATTTGTTAAAAAAAAACACTATTTTATGCGCGGATCCTGCCCGCTTTAACACAAAAAAGAAATAGTATAGCACTAGGTCTGAAAAAAATAATGTTTTTGGGTAATAAATTAATAACAATAAAACATAATATTAAACAATAGTTAAATTATGCGCGTTTAGAATTTGGCCTGCCACATTGATCGATCCGCGCACCAGCGCCAGTATCGTGACTTTACAATATGCATATAGTATATATATAAGGTATAAATAATCGTATTATAGCCAATGACTTTTTCGGTATATATATTGTGTTTTTTTGTGTGTTTGTTTTGCGTTGCTTTGGTTTTGCATTTGGAAAACTAAAAATTGCTTGTGCTTGAAGAGTCTTTTCTGGTGGTTTGTGGTTTGTAAATTGTGTGTATCTCGCCAGTTAAGTTTGTTCACTAAATTCATCAATGCTCCCTCTCTTTCTCGTCCGGTTGTCTTGTCTCTTTCGTTTCTAAATTGTGTGGTTCAGTAAGTAGCTTAGTAACTAGTAAATAATGATATAAGTAATATATAGCGAAAAATATTTGCGAAGACAGCGTTTGACATTATTTTCGGTTTCTCTCTCTCTATTTTCCTCTCCTTTCTCTTTCTTTCACTGGAAGCAAATTAAATTGCAATTCAAATTTAAAATTGAAATGGAAATTCTTTATCTAGGTGTACAATAGTTTTTTTCTTTGACTCCTTTTCTCATCTCTTCTCATACTTCCTTATTTATGTGTGTTTTTGGCTTTGTTTTCATTTTAGTTTTAGTTTAGCTGCAACATTTGCTAGCTGCTTGATTTAAATTCGAGTCCAACATTTAAATTATTTACAAATAATATTAAAAAAAAAATATTTATATCATATATATTACTATACAACTACAGTCTGGCTGTAGACTGTTTCCTTACTTTTTTGTTTTGTTGTTTGTGGTTTGGGTCGGGGATTTAGATTTAGATTTAAATGGTTTCAACTCAGGTTGCTTTCAATTTTGGTTTAATTCACTGGGTTCTTACACTTTACAGGGTTGTTTTTTTCGCTTCTCTCGCTTGGGGTCTAAATCATAAAAAACTCCATATGTGTTGCTGTTATCGTTTATGGGTTATCAGTTAGATCTAACGTTATCAATCGAGTAAAATAAATCTGTTCGGGCATGCATAACATTAAAAACTTAAAAACTTTTCTTAAGCTAAATCGTATTAATTATTCCTTTCCGTTTGTTTTTTCTTTGTTAAATATTTCACTTTAGTCAATGGTTTAAAAGAGGAGACTTGGGTAAGGGGTGTCCTCCGATTGAAGTTCTACTCCAGATGAATTTAACAAAAATCATTTGCCTACACATGCAACAAAAATCGTCTATATAATGGGGGGTGTTTTTTTTGGGTTAAAAGGGGAGGGAGTTTTGGTATCTTCTTAGTATTACTTATCAATGGGGTTTCTCATTATCTTTGCTTTGTCTTGGATTTAGTTTGTGTGTGTTTAACAATATATAAGATTTCTCTTAGTTAGCTCTTCTCCTTCTCCTTTTTTTTCAGTGTATTCAACATCAATCTCGGTTTTCCATTAAGTAAATTTCTAATTTTCTTTTTTCGTTTTTCTCTAGGCTTTATAAGTTAAACGGTACTTTTGCTATTGCTGTTTGGATTTTTTGTATGCTTTAAACATCTGTTTAATATTTCTTTACTTGGCTTTTTGGTTTTTTTTTTTTTTTTTTTTTTTGCATTTTTCCAAGAGTTTTTCTTTGTTTTTTTTTTGTTGTTTTTCGTTTTTGGTTTTTGTTTGGTTTTTGTGTTAATAGTAGTCACTAACGTAATAGGAAAAAGTTGTGAGCCTTTTCCTGTAATTTGCGATAAATTCCCACGACTCTCCGTCACATTCCACCGTGTTGCTGTTGGTTTTGGCAGCCACCCGTCCTGGGTGCCACGCCCCCGCCGGCACCGCCACCGCCCCCAGCCCCGCCCAGCGCGGAGGCGGCGGTGGTTCCAGTGGTGCCGGTGGTGGTGCTCTCGCCACCGCTCTCGTCGCCCTCCTCCAGTTCGGCGAGGTTCTCCTGGTCGGACTCCTCCAGGGTTACCTATTTAATGTAAAAGTATAACAAAATTAGTAGGTGTGTGACTTTCGTTTGAAATTGCTCATTAGAACTGACATAGCTTATCAACGCTTAAATGGCAAACGATTAATGAAATTAATGGAACTTATTTTGGTGAATAAATATTTAAAATTTAAGCCATTAAAAAAGTTACATTTAACAGGAGTAGCATTAAACTAAGGCGAAGCTATTTCTTATAACGAGTAAAGCAAATAAACTTTAAAACACTGTCATTATTGCTTTTACAAAACTCTTTGCCAACGAAAGAACAAATCTTTTAAGCTCTGTATAGAGTTTATATTCAAGATTACAATTACTTTTAATAACTTTTAAATCAAGAAGCGTATTCTTGAAATTACAATTGGAAAAGGTATACAATAAGGTATATAATTTGATAATCTTAGATGAACGTCAAATTTATTTAAATAATTTTAAACGGTTTTATATTTCTTTGGCAAATTGAAGTTTAAGCACTGCTAAACATCGGATACAATTTTACGCATGTCAGTGCGGTGATTGTGCTGTATTATCTGGGGCTCACTTGAAAGCGTATCCTGTCCTCCTGCGGATTCTCATCGACCCCCGACGGCGGAGGGGAGGGCGGTATCATGCTCTGGTAGTAGTCTCTGTTCTCTTCAAGCGTGTCGAGTATGTCCTGGGCATCCGGGTGCACCAGGTCCGCCCAGGTCTCCCAAAGTGGGTGGACGATGTAGTCGATGAAGCCCACCTGTGACTTCTCGATCGTGGCATTGTGGCGATCGCACATGGGGCTAATGTCCATTCCGTTCTCGCGTTCCTTGTCGCCCTGTAGGAAGAACTCCTCCATTAGGAGCGCCACCCAACGCTTGTAAAGCGGCAGCGGCTTGGTGGGATTGCTCAGATCGGCGCAATGCACCAGATTCTCGAGCACCTAAAGTGGATTCATAAATATAGATGAGTAAGTGCATCGACATTGGCTTGGTTGTAAACCAATCGACATACCTGTATGCGATCGGTGTAATTGTCCAGCAGCAGGACTCCAGAGCCGGCTACCTTCTTGGTTTCCACCATTGTCTTCAGGTCGGCCAGCAAACTCATGTGCTTGGACATGTCCGTGGACAGCACAATATCAATAACCATTTTCCTCAATGTTTGGCGTTGTTTCCTGGCAAAGAACAGCGAATTATTAATATTTGCAATTTAGATTGTACTATTATCTACATTTTCTTAAGCCACCTTGTTTATAAGTACTCACTTTTGCATATTACAGAATATATCACATCCTTGATTTTGCAATAATTTAAAGGCAACAGCTAAATGATGATTTTCCAAAACAGATTCGTCATTGTACATTAATGCTAGTTCGGAACCTGAGGGAAACATATTCATTTTATTAGTATTACATTCTGACAATCAATTGGCATTGATAAGACACCCACTTGAGTTAACCAAGAACTGGTTGGTTAAGCCGGGATGATCAACATCGTGGATGCAAGCGGCGAACAGTGCCCCGCCCACCTCGAGCGGTGTGAATACGCCCTCCAGCGCCGGTGTATTGAGTAGCACATTGGTGCTCTGGGTCACGTCCGCGGCGTGGAGCGAATTGTGAAACGGATTGTCTTTGACGTAGTGGTCCTCCAGAGTAGTCATAAAGTTAAGAAAAGTTTTCGGTGGTATCATAAGACTGGTCAGTAATTCTCTACTCTGTGGGGGCGAAAAGAGGAACACAGGGGAATATTAGTCAAATGTATTTTATAAACTGCTGTTTTTTTCTAAATAAAAAAGGGTTTATTATTTTACTATTTAACCAATGCAAGGATTTTTTAAAGAATTAAATTGATAAAAAGCATTCGAACTTAAGTTCGATGTATAATACATTTTTAAGTTACTGAGTAAATTACTTTTTTATATTAAATATTATAACTACTACATGTGAGCTTTTAAAGCTTAAATAAAAAGACAAAAAAGTGTTTTTGCAGACGAAAATTTTAGAGAAGATAATCTAATACTCATTAATATCAGATCGATTTAATTTCTGAAATAGCCTGTGGACAAATGGTTTTTCTATTAGCATGTACCCACCTGAAATATGGTGTATGCCACACAGGTGAGCGGGCGGTTGACGCTGAACTCGCCGATGCTAAATATCTGGATGCCCCAGGTGTCCAGTTCGCCGAGGAGCGTGCCCAGCTCGTTCTCCCTGGGCGTCTCCACCCCGAAGGTGGGCAGCCGTTCGCCGGTGAAGCTGTTGGTGTGCGACAGGGGCCGCTTCACGCCGCTGATCTGCGACATGGGCGGGCCGCGGGGCGAGCGGGAGCGGGCGTACTGTCCGGCGGACTGCTGGCCGGCGGCGGCGTTGGCGGCCACCAGCTCCGGATTATCCTCCACGCGCAGCGACGGCAAGTCGAACTCCTGCTGCTTGTCTGCGGAAAAGTCAGGCAAAATCACAGAATTAAATAGAGATCCCAAAAAATATGTCCTCAAAATGTTATTTATCTATTTAAATATTTATAGAAATAAAATAGCATTTTTAATATTAATTTAAATTAATAAAAACTTGGATTGGCTTAATAGTATGCTAGAAAAATAACATGTTAACATGTCAACAAAATCTATACCTTATTTTATTATAATTAATAATTGATTGATTAAAAGCAAATAAAAAAGAACCATTTAAATTTAAACAAATAGTATTCCTTTCATCATACTTTGACGAACTTAAATTAGCATTTATAATGGATTTACTCTGCTTATTCAAATAGTTTTGGGTTTGAGTTGGAAATGCAATCTACTATCTGGAAATCCAACTGAAATAATAAAAACCATTGCGATGTTCTGGCAGCACTATAATGTAGTGAGTACCTCAGGAAGCCAAGATAAACAGGCATAATGTACAACAACGCCTGCCACAAACACACATGTGCCAGAGCATAGCCTCCGGCTATATCCACATATATATCTATCTGGCTATCTGAATGGCGGGGGTGAGGTGGGTGGGTGGTTAAGGTAGAGATGTGGAGCAGCGACCCAAGTCCTTCAACTCGCATTTCTCAGGGCCTTCTTACTCGGTGCTTAAACAGCCATATAAATATTCAAGCGTTCGACGGCAAACAAGCAAAACTTTTGCAGTTTCCCATTCAAAATTCCATTGCCTACATTTTGGGGCCGCACCCTTAACCCCTTGCTGCCCTTACAGCCCCACACACAATTGTTTGTTTGACGTTGTTTTTGGCATGGAGAGCAAATTCAAATTGCCTGTGCATAAATTGATATTCATTTCAAATTCCAAATTGCGTTGAATTCTCGGTTGCTGGTAAAAACTAACACTACACATGAAACATAAATAACCGGGCAAAGCAAAAAGGTTGCACTGCCTGTTGTTGTTTTTACATGCTATTATTATTTGCCAACATATGCCTCAAAAGTGGCAGGCATTCGTCCATTTAATGGTTGTAATATTTTCTTGTATACATTCAACTGTTGCACAATTGCAAACATGAAAGCCCCCCAACTTAAACAAGACTTCAAAGCATTTAATTCCGGTTTAATTAACCTATTTTACTGAATTGGCATAAATTGGTTTCTTATTTAGCTGTAAATTGTTGACTAATAAAGACATTAATTAATAGAAGGATGGAATATTGGCCAATTCTTTACATATCGCTTAAAGTCAACTTAAAGTTCGTTTTCCCCTTCCCAGAAATTTCTTGAAGACCAAAAAAAAAGTGTTTCTTTTCCCAACTCTATCAGCTTGACAGAGCATAAATATTCTCAAAAATTCTTGAAGTTTTTTCACCCGACGGCGAATGTTTTCTTTTTCTTGTACTTTTTGTTTTTGTGTGTTGGTTTTTCTTTTTCCAGTTTTTACGACTCTTTTTCGCAGGGTCCAGATTGTTGGGGAAATGTATTCACCTGATGTGTGTGGCAGCATCTTGTTTTGCATATGCTTTCTTCACTTTCTCCTTTCGGATTCCCATTGCTATTTCTTTTACCTACGGCGATATTCAGGTGCTGAAATCTGTTTTTGCCCACCATAACTTTTCGGGGGGATTTCCCCCTTTGTTTTTCTTTTTTTTTGACTTTCGAGGTCGAGGCTTCTGTTTCAAATGAAGTGTTACAAATGGACATTAGGCAGTCGTGTGTGCGTGTGTCTGTGATGTGGATTTTTTTTTACCGTGTGTATCCCCCAAATGCGATTTTATGCTTGATAAACTACGGCAACAACAAGATAGTTGGGTTAGGCCTGAAAATTGTTGGGAAAAGGTAGCCTTAGATCCCGGGAAGGTCACTTTATCCCCAGGCTTACCCACTATAGCCCCCTCCCCCCCTCACCCCTTTCACTGGCTGCCCAGTGAAGCAGAAATATGGACAAATGTGCAAATATGCCCGATATCCTTTCGCTCCTTTTTCCCCTTTTGCCCCCTTTTTCCTGCGCTTCCAAATGTTTTTTTTTTGGTTTTCGACTAGGTGCGGCCCCTTTGTTTGGACACGCCCCCGCCACGCCTACTGCCCAATTTTCACAGAAAAAATTGAAAATTGGAAATCTCTTTGCCTCTAGGAAATTACATTAAAAGTACGCAAATATATGTTTATTTTCGGGAAAACCCGCAATTGCACCAGCATATTTGTTTTTATTTAAAATCTTACATTTCTGGCAAAATAATTTATAACAAGTCATAAAAAAATAATTAAATAAATTAGTACAGATAAAAACAAAATATAAAACAAATAATAAACATTTGATTATTAATTATTATAATGAATCGAAAGCTCATTAATTAAAACAGGATTGCATTAATATTCTATAAATTGCCTTTCATTGTTTGATATGCGTAATAGTAACCAGAAAAATAAAATATGAACAAAGAACAATATAAATTAATTACAATAACAATGTTTTTGAGCCGTGCACTCGCTTTTTAACCCTCGAAAAACTCCCTTTCCCGCACAAAGTGCCACGAGAGTGGCTTTGGTCTGGACAAAGACGGTAAGTGGAAAGTGGCGGGGGGGAAAATGGGTGGGAAATGCGCAAGGGGAGGGGAAAACTTTTTGGGGGACATTGGGGGACGCCAGTGGGCGTGCTTTGGGGGCTTGGTTCGCAGGTTAAACAATGAAATTTCCACTTCATCTGTTTTTATGCTGCTCTGCATAATTTAATTTTGCACTTTCAATTGGAGAAAGGGGGAGAAATGCGGAGAAAGAGCGACATCGACTTGTTTATCTCCAGCAAATGCCCCAATATTATTCTTTATCTTCTCCAGACGGATAAACTGTTATTCCCAAGACTGGATTTATTAGTTTTGAGATTTCGAGTTTGAGCTTTAAAAATAACAACATTTTGCTACTCTTTTACTCTTTTTTTTGTTCAATATGATTATTCCATGTTTAATAAAAAATTAGATAATGTACGCATTCGACATGAAATGAATGGTGCATTTAAATTGAATAAGCAAATTTTGACATCAGTTTTAATATATTTAAAAAGTTTACAAAGCCTATTCCATAATTATAAAACACCAGGATATTAATTTTCCTCCTTATTTTAGGGTATCGTTTTCGCGACCTTTCATTTCAGCTTGCATTCCCGATTTGCATAACTTTTGCCGGCATTTTTTCGCCCTAATTTGTTGGCTCTGTAGATTGGGATTGAGATTGGGGTGGAGATGGAGATGGATGGCTGGTGGTTCAGCTACTTGAACTCTATTCTTTCGCCTTTTCCCGCCGCTGTGGTTAATGCGATTTTATTGCATACTTTGGTAAGCCGAGCAGCTAGGAAAACTGCGAAAAAAAGACGAGCAGGAGCACCCTGAAACAAATTGCAGCCAGCAAAAGTTGAAGCTACAAAACATCTTGAATAACTTTGGAACGGGGGGCGTTAAGGGGTTAAGGGGGTCACGGGGGCAAGAGGGGGTTAACAGTCATAGTTTCTGGTAATGATGACGAAGCGTATTGTCAAATAAGGGGTAAATACAATTGGAAATCCAGAGGAAATGATTCGAGTGTTGGGATTGTTGTGCATAGTTTTTGCCATCCATCTTAGTTGGCTCAATTGGGGATTGAAATAATGCGATTGGTAATGATTGTTTGAGAAAGTGTTATGGAAATCCTAAAACAAAGTAACTTGACTTAGGTTATTCCCATACAATCTGTAAATCTGTTATACTTTTAAACTCATACTATTTCTTATTGATTAACTTAAATCCTACAATCGTTTATATTAAATAGTATTTAGTACCTTAATAAGTTATAATCATTTGTGCGTTGAAACTTACCCAAAAATGTGGAACAAATGTATTCTGAAATCTGATTTCCCGATCTGCTGGACTCGCTGAAGTGTGACAGCTCCTTGTTGAGCATGCGTTTGAACTGAATCACGAAAAAAAATTTAATTTTAGTTATTAATTTGGTAAAACTTAATACTAACGACCATTTTCTATAACTTGAACTTGGAATCAAATAGTTCTAATATCTTTCGTGGATGTTCTTAATTGATTTGTTTAACGAAATATTAGCATTATAGAGTAATAATACTTTAAAACACTTTACTATACACATACTATCATATTGAAATTAATTTATATACTTTTTGTTTATGGCTTTTTGAAATTCTTGGAGATTTATAACTTTCCTCAATCTAAGTTTTTAATTTTAAAATGGTAAAGGCGATCCTAATCAAAATAAATATTTATAGCAGACAATTGTTATAATTATCTTTATGTATATAATATAATATATACATATAATATAATATATTTATAGAACTTCTATATTTTTATCTTTTATGTCATCATATCATATGCTATCATAATATATTAAACTTCTATCTTTTTTATCTTTTATGTCATCGATATAAAATGAGCTTAAAATACTTTCACCACAATTTTTTTGGTAGTTCAGTTCAAGCTATGGAAAACGTGTTAAGATCGTGAATCGTGGATACCCACCTTGAGCGAGGCCATGTCGGAGACGCTGCGATGGGTCTGGATGGTCTCCAGCTGGTCGAGGCACCAGTCCAGCTCCTCGATGGTGTCGGTGGCCAGGCGGGTGTAGGCCTCCTCGCCCTGGGAGAGCGGGGCCCCCGGGGGGTTGCCCGATCGGGAGGCCGACGAGGATTGGTTGGGCCGCCTGGATCTTGATGGATTAATACACAGTTTCCCACACACACACACACACGCGCACACACAGAGAGGGGAAGGGAAATGGGGAATGGAAGAGTGGGGAGGGGGTAGGGGGGAGCGAGGTTGGATTTGCAAATACAACAAACAAACAAAATCATCAGAATCAACAAACAAACGAAACAGCAAACAATCGAACAAACATTTAAGGGAGAATGGTAGTCAAATATGAAAATGAGGGTGATAAAATCAAAAAAACATATTTTTTTTCAACAGTTTTGGAAATTTGGGAAGTGGGGAGAAGGGAATATGGAATATGCGGATTATATGGTGAGGTGTGTTAGGTGACGTAGCATGGTGTGGGTGTGGTGAAGAGAACACAACATTTAGATTTGTGGTTTTGCAAAAGTATCGGTGACACACATAGACACATATGCAAAATGGTTAAGATGAGAAGAGAGTAAGAGAGACAGAGAGAGAAAGAGAGAGAGCGAGAGAGAGAGCGGAAGAAAGAGAGAAAAATATTTATATTTGTGAACTTTCTTAATTTCTTTAGGGGGCGGGGCGGGGGCTGGTTTTTAACTTTATATTTACAGCAATCACTGCAAGTCAGGGGTCGGGTAGTCTTTTTGCGGGCCTGCAGGGGGTTAAGGTTAAGGGGTTAGGTGTTGCGTTACGTGCTTTAACCCATTTTCTCATGGCAATCATTTGCTTTTAATCCAATACAATTTTATACTTCATTCTACAATTAAAATACTCCATTAAAACCAGGTTTTAATTTGAGATCAACAATATTTAACAAACCTAAAGCCATTGTACAAATTTATGGATAGGTCTAATCATATTTTAATTAACCGATTTAAAATAAGGCTTATACATATGTATATCGGCATTTCAATTAAAGACCCTCTATTTTAAGCACAGTTATCATGCAACATCATTATTTTCACATATTTTTTAGAGTATTCTTCAAAAACGTACTATTAAGAAATATATTATATATATTAATCAGAACCCTTTGCTTTTTGAGTCGGAATATTAGCCAAAACCAGGAGAAAATAGGTTAGATCCCAGGATTTTAGTGGTTAATCGCATATCAAACAACCAACACAGCGAGCAGCAATCGACAAGACAACAATTTCCCGGTTGAACAACCCATTTGCAATTGTTCTTTGGAAACTTCTCATAGCTCAACCGAAACGTTGTTCTCTAAATTTAAGTTCTGCGCCATGGATATATTCCGCGGAAAAAAGTCGTATAAAATTCTTTTTCTGTCCCACTTGTTTTTGGCGATATACATACGTGCAGTATTTTTGGCACATTTCGCGTCATTTCGGCCAAAGTATGGGGTTAAACGGACGGGGCACCTGTGTGTGCACCTTCAACCTTTTGTAGGGTTTTATTTATATTTTCCATCTATTTATATATATATATACGTATTTTCATGGACCGACCATCAAAAGTTATTGTTAGATGAGAGTGGGATTTTGTTTGTTGTCATTGTGGTCGCTGCTTTTGATTAATTAAAGTGTGAGACGACAAAAAAACACACCAAGACCAGAGAGAGTGAGTAGGTTAAGGCGAGCAGAGAGCAGGCAGCACACACATAGGGGTTAAGGGGGGTTAAAACAGAGTGAGATTTCATATTTTTTCGGGGTCAAGTACATCGCATATATAGTACACAACAAATTGAGTGTCTCCGGGGGTTAAAGGGGGGTGGTTAAGAGGGGGGGCGTTTGGGGCGGGGCCTTGTCAAGGTCACAATACACTTACTTGTTTGATGCTGGAACATTTGTCAGACTTAATAAATTGTTGCGCACTGAACGTAAGCTGGCTAAAATTTGGGCGAAAGGCGTCACAATGAGATCCTCGCCATGGCTGTAAAAAAAATGGAAAAGAATTGGGAGGAAGAGAAGAAAGAAGGGAATAAACAAAGAATATTATTAGTAAGCTATTTGATTATTTATCTAATAAAAATATTTCGTCATAATAAGCAAAAAAAAAACCAAGAGAAGAGAAGCCGTGTATGAAACATGCAAATACTACAGATAAGTTACCCTTCATAAATAAAAGTATTTGACTACCGCTAGTTATTAAATATTATCTGTGCTGGTTTTAATTTTTAAATGGTGTTCTAACACTTAAACACTTAAAATTATCTTTATATAAATATAAGGTGAGAAGGCACAGCAATCAAAGTATTTCTCAAAAGCCATCCCCGTGTTAAGTATGTATATGTTCATTCTTCATATAAATAAACAATATTTTTAGTATTTTTCTTATGATCATAACAAATAAACACGTCTTAAATATGTATACATTTTTGGTGCATTGCTATGTGGTTTTGCAAGAATTTTAATAATCTTGTTGGGGATGTAAGAAAACACCTTTTGATTAACTATTAATGTTTTTCCCATTACTCTGAGATTTGGTACAAAAATCGCAAAGTGTGTTTGGAAATCTATAAAAGTCGGCCAGCCAAATCCTCTTACATCGTACAAGTTTCGGAGGGTCTTTGATGCATTGCCAAGAACAGCGCAAACAAGACCATAAATAACACCAAGAATTTTAAACGAAAATTTTGCTAATTTATTTAAATATTTTTGTTTTTTTTCTTGCTGTATTTCATCGAAACTATTTAATTTGTGTGGCATTCATTTTGAGTAGAATTTAAATGGGAAAATGTTGTGAAAATTGGAAGCGCTGCTCAAAAAAGGTCAGTGAATGTCCTCAATGCCCAAGCAAACAAAAAAAATATAAGAAAACAAGCGAAAAAAAGGACGCCATGATGACGGCCAAGTTTCAGTTTCTATCCTTCGCTATTTTTTTGTTTTTTTGGCAGTTGAAAATTCCACAGGAATTGTGGAAAACATATAGGAAGATCCGGACTGGGAGGACATTGAGGGCGGGGGCTATGGCGGGGGGCGTGGCACATGGTCTGGACTTTTCTCCTTAGCCACTTGGCTCGGAATTTTCACTGTGTGCCAAAAATAAAACAAAAGGAACCCGAAAATTAACGGAGAAAAAGCGAAAATCGAAATGGGCAAAAAACGAGAAGAAACGAAAAACGTTGACAAACAAAAAATGGCATAAATTAATAATAATAAAAAATAAAACGCTAAATACATATAGACAGATGTATATCTATATATAAATGTACAGATGCGGGGGCGTATACGTCAGTGACGTCACAAATTGGGAGACAAATTAAACGCGGAATACGCGGACCGGCGCCAAAGAATTAAAAAAATAAATTGAAGCCAAAAACTACAGGACGGACAAAGAAATGTTTTATTTAAATTGTGTTTGAGTGAATACTTGGATTAACTTTGTTGTCTAATAGAAGTTCATCAATCTATACAAATAAATGTTAGGGGTCATTGAACAGACCAAGTCGTAAACAATCAGATTTCATTGTTTACAATTGTGTATTTTACTAAATCATTAATAATCATTTGGATTATGCACAAGGGACTATGGCTATCATTATAGTGCATATTTTGGTGATTTTAAACGACAATTTCGTCACTCATTTTCCACTTAGCCGCATTGCCAGACAATGAAAATCGAAAAAGGCGGCGAGTGAAAATAAATATGAGCATGAAAAATGCCATTGGAGGGGCATTTCGGCATTTCGGTGTATGTAAAATTGACCTCCTTTGCGGCCATTTTCACAGCAACAAAAACGCAGCCAAAGTGGCTCATTTACAGGCTCCGTGCTTTTTTCTTTGTGGTTTGAAATTCACATTTCACATTTCTCTCATCGCCTGTCTCGCGCGCTTTTGCCTGACTTTTGGCACGTCGCATATAGCGTGAAACCGTGTCAGACATTATCCATCGAAAACCACAAACGATTCTGGAAAACGGCGGGAAAACTGACCGTTCGAATTGCCACCCCCAAAAAAAAAAAATTGATTTATTTTGTCTGCTTTTGTACTCGAAGAACTTTCTTGATGGTTAATTTTTTTGTTGACACTGATTTGTCATTTCGTTTAAAGAAATTCTAGGGGTACGTCCACCCCTGAACATTTATTATTATTTTTGCCATCTCCCCTGCTATTTTGGTTTATTAATATTGCGACGCATTTTCAACACGCCCCCAATTGCCAAGAAATCGCCTCTTTAGTTGAAAACACAGCGTGACTCATCGAAAAAGTATAGTAGGTAAATAAAAAACTTAAATATAAAGTGACAAAAAGACAACAAAAATTATAATAGTTTTTAATTAAGAAGGCTTTCATTAATGATTTAAAAACTATTAGTATATATTGCGCACCTCCACATCACTCAAAAAAAATTAACAAAAATTTAAGTATTTATCAAATAAACAATTTAAAAATGTTTCAAAGTATGCAGCCACAATATCTAAAGCACAGTGACAAATCGAGACAAATATTTAAATTGGACAACTCAGAATTCCACTAAAAAATAATTTTAAATTTGACACATGCTAAAAGCCTAATGACAAATGTATAGAATGGGCTTTTAAATGAAAGAATTCTTCAAACTGAAATTCATAATAAAACTTTGATATATTTAAGCCTAAAAAGTTGTGAGACGATCGGCAAAAAATAAATCAAATTTCTCAGAATTTTGTGACAATATTTTTGAAAGGTAATGACATTTACTCACAGTAAGAGCTTTTTGCCAAAGGTACGAGGGAATACCCCCCGTACAAGGCAAATTAATCTGTTAGGTAAATTAACGCAATAAAATTTCTGGGTAAATCCAAAAATACCAATAAAAATTTAAAATAAATACAGAAAATACAAAAAGTATATAGAAAACTAAAGACCAGCCAATATTATTGGCATCGAAATATTCGGTAGGAAAGGCCGAGAACCATAGATCATAATTAATGTAGGCATATATAGAAGACACGCGGCTTGTTGGATGTCATTAAATTGGAATATAAATATGTGTATTTAGTTATTTCTTGTATTTTCTATATTTCTTTGGATATATGTATGTCCGAAGCGAAGGCGAACTATTTCGAGACCTGGCCATAAATGGCCCTGAATCAGGGATATATAGGGATATACCTGCGCTGCGATTTGATGGAGAACATATTGTCCCGATCGTTCAGTATGGTCACAGCCAGATCGTCCTGCATTATCGAGGGTATCATGTTGAAGAAACTGTGCACTCGCGGCAGCGACTGCGACGATGCTGAGTTTTTGTTCAGCATTTTGGTAGATTAATTCACAAATTACAAAACAACAAAAAAAAAAAAAACAGCACTATGTTTATAAATAAATAGTTAATTAACTTTTGGCCCACATGGGCCCACTAGCTGAGAATCTGTTTGATGCTCTTCAAGAAAGTCTTCAAGTTAACTCTTAAATTAGTTTTTTATTTGATTGCAGCAATCGGTTTGCTGTTTTCCTTTCGTTGCTGCTGGTGTGTTTGAGATTTCCGCGGCTTGTTTGAGATTTTTCGAAATTTCCACGAGCAACCGCTAAACGAGAATGAAGCGCGTCCCGCGGCAGAAAAATACAGAAAACACAGAGGCCAAACACACAGGTCCGCAGAGGCGAAAAAAGAAAAATTGTAGTAGACGAGTCTCGCGAGAGCGGAGCGCACAAATTATATTCAACTTACAAAAAAATATTTCTACTCGGCGCTCGTGAGAGCTTGTATTTTGTTATTTTCATTTCGCGTAAGATTTCAGCTTGCTTTTCATCTTCATCAGGCAACAGCATTTGCTCAATTATCGGGATACAGGGTGCAACTTTCTTTAATTAAGGCATAAGCATTTAAAAAAAACTTACGAATACTATGTAATCATAATAATAAATACTTCAAAGTTAAAATAAAGCTCTCTTTTAAAAAGCTGTGACCAAAACAATAACATACCATGCAAGTAACAAAAGATCTTAAAATATTTAATTAAAAATATTTTATGAATATTTTCAAGAGTTTTAAAAATGCCTAGTACACCCAAAAATACCGATTTGTTTAAATTAAAAAGTGCCTAAATATTTAAAATATTTGATGGACTATTTTGGAGCACCCTGTAGGGAAATACGTCCTTGCCTGGCACTTCATCATCATCATTATCATCGGCGTCGTCATAGGCATCGCAACTACAATCATCATCGCAACGATGATTATTCGGAATGAGAAGAGATGGCTGACGCTCAAATAATTTAATTTTCATTTGCAGAGCACCCCTCTTTGCTCTGCCCCCCACTTTTCCCATCGCACTTACCTACGCTAATGTTTAATAAATTCCCCCTCTCTGTTTTGCTGTTGCTGCCTTCAATTGCTGGTTAGTATTAATAGTATTAATATTCTTGTTGTTGCTGCTGCTGCTGCTGCAGCTGTTGGCATTTGATTAACGCTCATTAGCGTCAAGAACAACAACAACGAGCCCATCAATTTTTAAATACGCCAATTATTTTAATATCTTTCGTATGATAGAGGAAAAATATATAGAAAGCAAACGAGAGCATGCAGAGAAATTCTCTGACAAAAAAAGAGAATAATTTTACAAGAATTCTAATAATAATTTGGGTCTAGCAAATTTTTTTTAATTTTTGCCCACGCATCACTTGAACTGATAACTGGGTAATATGGACCGCATTACTCATACGCAGCGTGCGCCGAAATGGTACATTGTTTAGTTATGCATTAATTGCATTGATTGAGCAAATGATTACATAGCTTTTAGTTCCACGATTTCTAATATGAAAAGAAATGGGAATTTTTCTTCCGGTGCATTCATAACAAAAGCTCACTCTAGTCGAGTGCCCAAGCATTTCAAATAAACACTCTCGTGGGGAGTTCTTCTCTGCGGGCTTCAGTCTTAATCTGAACGCAGCCAGAGATTTATGGGATTTATGCAATCAAACAGTTGCTGACCACATTTCACATTTCGAATAAGCTGCCTTGAGAACTAGTCAACTATAACCGTTTGAAAAGCCCATTAAAATGTATAAGACTGAAAGAGCTTTTGCCGGTCTTAATGCGTTGAGTGCGGCTTTGTAATTACACTAGAAGTATGTATTTTGAATTTAACATTCTAAGTCTAAAAGTAAAAGCGTAGAAAATAGAAAAATATTTATAAGAAAGAAGTTTTTATATAATTTTATACACAAAGATAAAAGAGATAATCTACAGTGGATTGCCATAAAACTGATATTTTATTGCTTAGTAAGTAAAGCTCATTTTATTTGATAATTTTTATTTATTAACAAATATGTTTAAGGTATTTAAAAGAACAGAATGGGTCTGGGCGGTAAGCGACTGTCGATCGGGGAACTAGTTTATTTTGCTCCTCATTCGTTTTGGCCATATCATGGAAGACTGCACTCCGAGCTGCCGATATTAAAGCACTTAATTTGCATTTCGCTTTTGGCTCAGCAAAGCCATTTTCCATTTTCCCCAGCCAGCCTGCCATTTCCATGCCACACACAACGTGCTATAAAAAGGAATTTCTATTTTTTTTCGCCGCTGGGTGTGAATGACAAATCTGCAATGTGCAATGCATTTTTCCTATCCATTTATATATAAATATGTACATATAGCCTTACATATATGTGTATAAAAGCTAAAATTATGTGCCCGCAATCACGAGCACTCACAGCACTCACGAATCATATTCAGGCACTCACAGCTTATACGTTTTTTTCTTCATTTTTTTTTTTTGAGGCAATTGAGGCGCTGCTGGCAGAGCAAATTTAATGCACGGGAAAAATGTATTTTATTTAGTTGAAGCATTCCTCTTCTGCTGCCTCATCTTGAGCCATATTTTATGGGTTTTTCGCTTTGGTTTTGGTCATGTTTCGTGTGCCAGCTTTTCTTGGGTGTCACGCTGCGTATGAATAATGTGAACGGGAACGGGAGCGCGCATTACGTATACGCCCGGTGCGACGGCACTGCATGTGGCAACTAGACTGCGACCACAGCGGGGGATTTGCGAAAGAGAGTTCCCCTTGATTGACTTCTGCCAGCAATTATTCCGTTTTATTTATTTTCTCTATATACTATTATTTTGTTGGTTTTTTTTTTTTGTGTGTTGGGGCCTTGGCACTTGGGGACAGGAAATAGGAAATGTTTTTCATATTTAAATTAGCTTGGCCTGCACTCAATAATACCCCAGATGTCAGCGTCATTCGGTGCGAAATTCCTCTGCAACTCGTGACTGTCGAAGACAAATTGAAATGACTCAACGGAACTTAACATGACCAAACATGTGAGCGTTATGACTCGAAAGTCGCATTTTTCGAGACGGGAAAAGTTCAGAGTTCACTGAACCGAAGATAGACAATGTATATTCGGGTTCCTAGAAAAGAACCGATGTGAAGCGAATATTTCAAAGTCTAAAACGGCCACAAACAATTAATAAATTTCAAAAAATTTAAAAAGCTCACAGAAAATATCGTTATATTTGGAACTGCCATATTAAAAGAAAAATTTTAAATATAAAATTTTTGTATAAAAATAAGTTTTCCATATAAGGATCTATCTATATTGCGAATTTTAAAGACCAAAATGTGAGTTTTTAAATATATATAAAGTAACCCTTATAATTCAAAACTTGTAAATTGTTTTAATATTCTCAAATAAGAATAGCAAGATTTATTTAACAGATAAATACTTAAACTCAAATAATTGTAAATTCAGATAAATACTTTTTCTTTTTTTAAATTTTGTTTTATACATTACCATTGCTGTTTTAAGGTTTTTATTTATGATACCGAATATATATGTACATCATGATTTGTTCTATCAATGGTTTGCGAGCATGCAAAAAAATGAAATAAAAATTGTAAAAGGCCGCCAAAAACAATAACAAACCCATGAAATGCGAGTGCGAGAGTGGATAAAGTAGCGACAAATTACCCCTATAAAATCACCAAAAATTTCGTAATATTTTCTATAATTATCGGGTGGCAAATAGTGAAACAGAAACCGCATGCAAATCACAAAATGCAGGGCGACAAAAAAGACAACGACAACAAACATACAAACATCAAATGCAAAGGCAGGCAAGACATAACGATAGAGATAGATAGATAGATAGAGAGAGACAGAGAGAGAGAGAGAGCGATATAGGCAGATCAGATCTCTCGGCATACGTACGATCGGTCAACGAGTATAGAGGCTTCCTGTTCTTTAAACCTGGAAAAAGGGTTACAATCTTAATAAACAACGATAATACAGACAACAATCATAAGAAGTTCACTAAGTATAGTAGGGAGAATAGAGGGAAAATATGGGCAAATATATGGGGGAAAACGGGGGAAAATATAGGGGGCAAATGTAGCTTACAGAGAACTTGGGTAAGGGAAGGGGGAAGAGCAACAACAGAAAGTCAAAGTCAAATCAAAATCCAAAACATATAGACACCAAATCAAGGCTGACAAAAAAGAATACACTGTGTTTATTAATTAGATATTATTTAGGGGATTCTTAATTTGCATTAGGCGTATAAATTGGTAGAATTTTTGTATATAGTTCCTAATCCCTTCAATGTACTTAAGTATATACTTTCATTTAGCTTAATTCCTTTTTATCTTTCAACCAAAAATATGTTGTAATTGGACACAAGGAAAAACAACGGACAGTATAAAATACACAAAAAAAGCATATTCAATATGGGAAACAATCTAATAATGTTTAGAATATGCAGTAACAACTTATTTGTCTTCAAATACAATGTAGAAAATGTTTCTTCTGACTATTTATAAAGTATTTTTATTTTAATAAACTGTTTATTATAAAGGTATTTTTTAAAGGGCTTAGCAATCATTATAATGTATAAATAAGTTAAATGATTCAATTTGTTGTTTATCCCTTTCAAGAGAAATCAAATTGAACTTGAGTGACATTCCACTCCAATGTGTGGGTTTATCTGCGTGTATTTCCCCAAATGCCCAATTGATGCGTCACGTGCAACCAAATGCTAAGTGGGTGTAGTGTGGCGAAAAATGGGAGGGAAAACGGGGCGGAAAAGTGGGGTGAAAACCCCCGGCGACTTTCGCTGACGCAGACAATGACCCCCGTCGCATAGATCAGTGCAAATCCAGCGTCATGACGTCATGACGTCATTCCACCACGTCACAACAAACAAACAGACAGACAAACAAATTGGAGAAGGAGTACAGCTGGTCTGTACAAAAGTCGAAGTTGAAGTGTTGACATTTAAGCACACGGCCAAAGGACCTCCGACCTCTAACCCCCGACACCGACCCCGCCCCCTTCTTGGCAGCGGACTCTGCCGCCCATTTGTCTCTGCATTCACAAACTTAGTGTGCAAATGTCATTGGGCACAAATAAAGGGGCGTGGCAGTGCAAGCGCCCTTTACAAAACTTGGGGTCAGCTAATCGGACCCCAATGCAAAATTACTGTTTACTTTACTTTACTTATTTAGCAAACAAAATAACGATTAATGTGAACTCTTTGACAAATATATACTTATCTTATTACCTCTACATAAAGATTATTTATTCATGTTTACGTATGAACATAATACAACATAGTCTTCAAGAGTTGTTTTTAAGAGGCTTTAAAATTCCCATTACGTGAAATTGTATTCTACAACTGCTTTCAAACTGGTTTAATGTAACCCAACCGACTTGATAAAACTGCAGTTAGCACTTCATGGCCAAATGAAATTGTCGCCCATCTTATCTGTCACCTTATTCAGTTTTCCCACACCTCAGTTAACCCAAATTAACCCGAAACTAACCCACAATCACCTCAGAGAACCCGAAACACAACGAACTTAACCCAAAAATCTAGTAAGGATTTTCATGGCAACTCAATTAAAAGGATTCCACTTTCCCTCCTGCAGCTCCCTCAATTCCAACTCTGATTCCAATTCGGATTCTGTTTTGTTTTCTGTATTTTGCAGCTTTCGGTTCTTGGAAATTGATGGCAACGCAAGATGCAGCCAACAATTTCAACTTTCCCAGGATGAATTTCAAAAGGAATTTACATGGTTGGTTGGACAAAACTTGGGGCGACACCTGACACAGTTTTGCGGTTAAATTAATGCCCAGGCCTCAAAGTTGCCGACTGGCGGAAAGAGGACTCAGATGAGCCTGGGGATTAGGATTAGTTTCCATTCCCGGTAAAACAAATGTCCGAATTCGGGGAAAATATTCGTATAATAAGAGACGTTTGAATCTCAAAGACTTTCCACAGTTTAAGAAGAATTTCCGTAAGTAAAAGCCCTGAATGTATATTTTTTAAGTGTTTGTTTTTTAAACGAGTTGTATTACTCACAAAATTTTAAGAGTAATGTGTATTCCTCGAATTTCATAATGAATAAGCATTTGGTTAAGCGTTAAACATTTAACAATCATTTTATTTTTCTAAAAAGCTTTGGTAATTTTATTCTACACTAGATATATTTGGGAGTGTAGGAAATCCTACCCCACTACAAGTATTGTTTTTCCCTATTTTCCGTTTGAAAAAACAATTCCACTTAACTGCATCTATTATTGTTGCCATGATTATTTTCTCGTTTTTCGGGGTGGCTGTCCGAAAATGTGAGAAGGAACATCCCGGGATGCCGACAACAAAATATTATGACTAATTGTGAGTTGTTTTGCTCGAATGACGACCTTGACATTTACAGGGAAAAATAGGAAAATGGGAAAGTAGGTGGGAAAGTGGGGGCGTGGGTGGTGTATGCAAGACAGCCTCGGACAGTCGGCTAATTATTTGTTATTAGTGTTGAAATCTTTATGAAACTTGGTCGTCAGTCAATGGTTTTTGGTTCTGTTTCGGCTCAAGACCCCATCCATAAATACGTGTGTGTAATTGACAGCTCATCAGGAACATTGTTTGAAAGTGGCAGCCCCTAGAAGTCTTCCAACTTGATTGAAAGCAAACGCAGCGTGCGCTGAAAGGTGGAGATTTCACCCCCCCCCTGCACCCCTCCAACCATTTTCCCCTCCTTCCCGATTGACCCACGTTTTCCCTCGAAAGGAAAATGGGAAAAGGGGAATGGAGGGACAGTTTGGCAGGCCGAAAAACTTTGAAGGCAGACAAAAGTTTTCGGTTTCCATGCCGCACCGAAACAAATGCAAATTGCGTTGCTGTCGCCTGCCAAAAACATTTGACCGTAAAGGGAAATCTACAACAACACCTGAGGAAAACCACAACAACAAGTTGGCCAAGAAGGTCGAACGACTGGGGAAAACGAAATACTTGTTCGAACTAAAATTGAGTTGGTTTTACTTAAAAAAAAACTTATACAACAGATACAAAGAGTAGGAGAATTTAAATGGTAATTTATTTGGGCTATTATACGATTTTGTATTAATTTGTTTAATTATTAATTAATATTTTTGGTTTTGTACTAAGAGTTTGACTATGAGAACTAAGAACTGTTAGTTTAATCAACAATTTTTCGTTTAATCTTTTAGAAAAATATATTTCTTTTTACTTTTTTGTTTTTAATTTTAAATTGGTCTTAAGTTTTAATATCGGTTTTCAAAAGATATCTTGTACAAAGATTGTGTTCAGAAATATTTAAAATTACCGACAAGAAAATCCTTAAATTCAATCGGAAATAAACTCGTAAATCATTTCCTGGGATTGAGTTTTCCTCGCCCCGATTCGAGTCTTTAAAAAGTAATGAAAATCTTGTTATTTCCGCAGTGGTAAATATTCTATTTACTTTGGTTTTCGAGAGGTCTCCCCGCAGACTCTTAAGTGTTTTTTTTTCCGGGCGAAATATTTTGGCTTTTGTAATTTTTGCAGCCATAATTTGCGCTCTATATTTCAAAGGGGGAAAAACTGAAAGGCGGCAAAGGGAAAGCTTACTTTTGGCGCTGTAAAAATAGCTGTAAAAATGTAAATATTTTGCCAGCCTTTTCCCCTCAATTTTTCCCCGCTTTTCCCCATTTTCCCTTCGTCTTGCCCATTTTCTCTCCCCACCCCCCCCTTTCAACTTTTCCACAGCTATATTTCCATCTTTTGATGGTGATCATCAACAGCCTCCACCTCGTTGTTGTTGTTGTTGCAACTGCATGTGTAATTAGGTGTTATTGTTTTTGTGCATAATATGTACATGTGTGTGTGTGAGGGTTTTCCTGTGTGTATGTATGTATGTATTTTTTTGTCTGTGTGTGTGGCCCCATTGCCGCTGCCAAAACGTATAAAAAAAAATTGTGGGTGTGCAGGGAGATGCACTCAAAAACACAACAGCCAAAAGGCTTGCCAAAAAAAAAAATCACACACACACAGTGATATATAAACAACAACAAAAAGGGAAGCCGAAAAAAAATTGCATTTCCGGCCTCAGTGTTGCATAACGCGTTTTTGGCCATGCATGTGTAATGAGGTCTTTTTTTGGGGAGACTACTGTGACTAACTAATTGAAGTTGAGGCCTTAGGCTCTGTGAAAACTATGGAGAAAATATGCCCAGCATAAAACAGCAGACACTGTGGAAAAAATAAAAATATATTTATCTTAAAAAAAACATTTGACCAAGATTAATTTCATAATGCTTCCCATTTAGTTCCTCATATCGCATATATCATAGCAACATTCGTTTTAAATTTTAAGCTGATTTTTGAATTTGATTTTATTATTTTAGCAAAATTTTGATATCTTTTTGATTCTTACCAAATAAAAAAAACTATTGTAAAGGGTTCATAGAAAAAATAAAATACATAAAAATAAAACTATTTAAGAAACATAATGGCATACCAATGAATACCGTTGAATTAAAACAAAGTAACTTAGCATTTGAATATTTTTGCATTCTTTATAAAGGTTTAAAAATAGGAAAACGTAAAAGTTCTTAACGTATTACTTAGGCTTAAGTAAAACTATGCAAAAATCTATTCATGAGATTCAATTTAAAAAGTTTTGGATTCGAAATTTTTTAACAATTACGTTTTCCATAGTGCAGAGCTTTGCATATTTTGAAAAGTTTAACGATGAGGTAGGGAAAATGGGGGTGGGGAAAGTGCAGGGGGAGGAGTAAGCCCCCGGCAAAGTCACAGAAATCCCACAGAGTGACAAAGACTACACAGTCAGCAGAGGAGAAAGCACAGGAAAAGCTGGGAGGCAGGGAAAATATGGCGGGGAAAGCCAAAGAGGAAAACTCTGGGGCCCAGAGATGCCATCAAAGTTGTTGCAATTTTCGCATGTGTGCGTATAGCCCCCCCTTCAAAGCCACTTCCCCCCTTCAGCTTCGCACCACTGATCCCTCCATATGCCTTTCCAAATTGTTCAAATATCTATGACCAAGTTTGTTTTTGTTTAATGTGGAATAACGAGGGAGCACTTCAAAAAATATAAACACATAACGCAAATACAAAAAAAAACACCAAGTTCAAAATTAAAGTTTGTTTTTACAGAATTAAATAACAACAAAATGACGTAGTATTTTTAATCAACATTTCACCTGAACGCCTTAAAACGTACAACATAAAGAGGAACTGATTAAATATATTTTCATAAAAACTATTTTGACTGTTTGTAAAGACCGCAAATAAAATGTTTTGTAATCATATCAAACCAAATGATGAAAAAGAATTCAGATATAAAAGTGTGGAAATGGAGAAGCAGAGCCATCAATAAATAAAATATATCCATAGAGTTTTGATAAAGACAAAATAAAGAAGGAAAATCGGAGAAAAAAATGCATTAAACTAAGAAAACCCCCTTAAAGAGAAACAGAGAAACACACGTCATGAAAGGAAAAAATTGTATCGAATAGTATAGGTAATAGTGAAGATAAACACCACAGAAAACAACATTAAACGTACTTAAAGAAGTCGTACCGGAGGAAATGGCACAACAAAGCAAAGGAACCATAAGCGAAAAACCATAATCAAAGCAGTTTCTTGGGAGGAGGAACCACAGACATGAAAAAGGTGGTTTAAATAGCCAGCATAATCATTATCTGAGACCCAAATTATACAGGTGAATGTTTATGGTTGGCATTCACAAAACTAAACGGGGAGAAATCAGCTTGAAAATCAAACTCAAACACCGGAGATAAACTCAAACTTATATTGTACAGAACTCTTTTCATAGATGGGGAATATGGGACATTGGATATTTAATTAAGCTTGAAAGAACACTTACCTTTCGCTAGCGATGCTTGAGTTTCGGGACATGGACTTGGGCGACATCTCAAAGTCGGAATCGGAGCGATATAGAAACGATTCGCGACGCTGCGGCAAATTCTGTAGAACCAAACCGGCGCTGGGAGAGCCGCCCTCGAGCGGTGATCGAGCGCCCTGGCCATTTTCTACATCGAAACTGTAAAAAAGAAATCGACGAAATCAAATTAGTATGTGCTTTAGACAGAAAAAGATCCAGAAATTGATAGGCAGTCAAATAGGCATATAGAAAATTATTTACTTAATAGTTGTAATGCGTAAAGTGTTAAGAATTGTGCCCCTTACCTTTATACAAACATTTAGTCATTTTTAAAACTTAAAAACATTGTTATATTTTAAAATACAATTTCCTGTGTTATTTAACTTTATTGCTCTAAACATTATTGTCTTTAAAATAATGTATGGAATATATCTAGATAATAAATACATATTATAAATGCCCTAAAAATATTAAACCTATCATTGACCACGGAAAAATGCCCTAAAATATGAAGGCAATGCCACCGGAAAAGGAAGCTCGCCTAACAAGGCGCATTTAAAGTTTCATTTCGTTAGTCATCTTTCGCGTTTTCCTTTTTTTTCAGCTCGCCTGTCTGCGGCAAAAAGTTTTTCTGGCTGGCAGAATTCTTGTAACAAGTCCACTCCCCCTAAAAAAAAAACCAAAAAAAAAATGCGAAAGCAAAAGTCACTCCACTCCGGCCGAAAATGTGAAAGGAAAGTTTAGTCAATTGTGGGCCAAGCCCCCGAGTTTTCGGGGAGTTGGTGAAAATAAGAAACTTCCATAAAACTGCCAGCTCATCTTGGCCACTTCAATTTGCCGCTAGGTGGCTGCCTTAAACTTATAATCAGGCTTCTCTAAGCCGCAACTTTTGTTCATGCCAATTTAACCTGGCATAAAGCCTATACACATAAGTGTACACATATAAATGTTTGTCTGGAACAAGTCAAGAAAATACATGTTTGAATACACATACTGTTTATCACAAAAAATATGTAATACTATTATTTGAGACATAGATTCTATTGAATATTATTTATAATAAAATAAAGTAAAAGCTTATCCTTTTACTGACAGGGTAAACAAATTCATTTAAAACTTAGATTAAAGAATAACTCCCAATAAGAGAATTAAAATGTTTTGATCGTAAATCTTATATATAGATATAGTTTATTTTAAATAATAAGGAAAGGTAATATCTTATATTACTATGTTCGAGTCGAAGTTCTATAATCCAATAAGAAAATATTAAGAAGCATACATTTTGATACAGCTTAAGTGAAAACTCACTGACTTGGTAATCGAAAAATATCAATTGGAATGGAAACGCTTGGCTCAGACACTTTTCCGCAACTTTCTTGCCACACACAGCTGGGTCCCCACCCCACTATTTGAAACACCTCCTTCTCATTTTCCTCGCAAGGCTGAAGAAACGTCGTAAAGAAAAATGATGTTTTAAGTAAAATTTATACCGGGGTCATTAAGTAAACTTGGCACAAAGTTGTTGCCGCTTGTTGCTACTGTTTCGTTTTGGGCGGGGGAAAAGTGGGAAAAGTGCTGGGAAAATGTTGGTATCCAAAAGGGGGTGGCGGAGAGCAACAATGTAGCCAGTTTCCCTGGCATACTTTGTGGCGTTTTTCCGCAAAAGTTATGGCAACAGCAGCGGCGGCGACAAACTGTTTTTAGTTCGGTTTCAGTTTCCAGTTTCGGTCATACATTTTCCCGCTTTTCTTTTTGTTGGTTTTTGTATTTTTAATGGTGTTATGAACACTCTTTATTGTTGTTCTACAGTTAAGAGATACTTTTCTTTTTTTTTTTGCATAGTCAAAATAAAGGCGAACGCGAATGGGAAAACTCCTACTTTGTTGATTTGGTTTTCAACTGGGTTTCCTTTTTATTTGCTCTAAAGAGAAGCTAGTCGTGTACACTTTATGGGATGCATTTTCATTGAGGGTTTTTGTCCAGCTTTGTTGCATGAAAAGCGAATTATTTTCTATTAATTAAAATTCATGGCCACACAATCTGGAGGAAACTGTATTTATGTTCAAAAACATCAGCAAATACGCACAGCTGAGGTCCTTTGTTAAATCAGTGAATGGAAATCTTTACAAGCTTTAAATAATTATTATTTTAAGTTCATTTTATTTAAAACAATTTATTATTCATTAAGCTCTGAACTTGCACACAAATTTTATCTGAATCCTTGTAAAATTTTAAACTTGTAAACTAATTTTATTCAGTTAAATTAAACAATTTAACTTCCTATTTATTTGTTACTTTACTCTGTTACTCACTTATCTGCTTGTTTTCCCGCCCTTTTTAATCCTTTTTAACCAAATATTTACTTATTTACTTTGCAATGCACTCGTGCATTCATTCGCCCCATGAATGCTGCATTCATTCCCTTCAAAGTCGCCGAATACTTGGCGCCTGCTTATCCTGACATTCCAAGGACCTGTCGTAACACTCGGGGAAAAACTCACAGAACATGGGGACAAAAAACAACACTCAAGCTCATAAAGCGTCCTGTCACAGGCAGTGCACAAAAAACGCAGACAAACCAAACAAAAAGCGAGAAAAGCGTGAAGAATAGAAACAATAGATGAGCGAGCAAGACAATAATTCTACGAGTGAAAGGGACGGGTTGTTTCGCCGGCGAAAGAGACGGCAACAATTGATAAATTGCCGTTGTCCAGCGGCACAAAAATTGGCGAAAAGTGGTCAGTACTTGGAGAAACATGCGTTTCGAACGGAGTAGTATATCCTCCTTATAGAGAAACACTAGATTTGAGGAAATTTTAAACCAAACACTAGCCAAAGGGATTTTGTGGGCGCCATGGGGGCGTGGCAAGAACCACTCAACTCTGAGCCAAATAACCCACATGGAAATATATATATATACCCACACACCCACTCCGGTTGGCCTCATCAAGCCAGCTGAAGCCCGGTGAACCCTGCGGCAACTTGAGTGTTCTCTACACTACCAAAATTGGTTCCTAACTTACCAAATATGAACTAAGAATCAGTATTCTTACCTATTTCCTTTTTTTAAGGTTTTATATTAGAATATGTATCTTAACAATAAATCAAGGAAATAGCTTCGGCATTATTTTTGTTGATTAATTTAACAGATAGTTCTTAAAATACTAAAATATATATATTTCCTAAAATGTCTATCATTTACTATTGATCCATGCCTATTTCTAAGCTAGGGTATTTTCATCTTCGTCCTTTGAACTCCCAGACTTTCTTTATTTCTAGTTGCATACTTGCAGGCGCCCTTAAACACAATTACATATACAAAAAGGGGGCGGAGTGGGTGGTGCTGTTGGGCGGGTGGTTTTTTTTGGGTGGCCCAGTGGGTTTGCCTTCATTTAAGCCGTGACGTGCTTTAAGCCACACAGTCGCACTCAAGCCGGATGAAGGCGAAAGTAGCTGGCTGGCGGAAGATTGGCATTGTTGTGCCAGGAGAAAGCGGAGAAAGAGGTGGAGAAAGCGGTGGAGAGGGCAGGGGGAAGGACGAAAAGGAAGTGGCAGGACGGGGGAGTCGGGGAGGAACGGAAGTGTGCCCGACGGCAGCTCTTCATGCGCCTAATTATATGTGCAAATAAATGAACGACGCATGCTGATTGTGTGGGTGTAGGACTACAGTGTGTATTAGTGAGTCGAGACTGTGTGTGTGTGTGTGCTTTGGGTTCGTGTTTATATGTGTGCGTCATAGATGTTTGCCCTAGACAAAAGGTTGCCTCTTTCGACTAAAAAAGAGCGCTAAGCTCAACGCCCAGCGTCAACTTAATTAGTTTGTTAAACTCGCAGCTCACATACACACACACAGACACTCACACACTCAAAGAGTGTCTGTGAGTGTCCTTTGACAGAAAAATACCGTCAAAGTCCTGGAAAACACAAAGGAAAAGTAAGGCATTTTGAAAATTTCCTTTATTCAATTTATACCAGCACATTTTGAAGTCTAAATTAGCTAATTTTATTTTATGCTTTTATTATAGACTGTTTTTAATTAGGCAATATCGATGCTTAAAATTGGGATTAACGAAAATATTCTTAAGCTGAGGAATCAATCAATAATTAATAAGTATTTTATTCCTTACAAAAGATTCAATTAGGGCAAAATAAAAGAAGTTAACACTTTCTAAACACTATTAAATTAACATATAATTTTTGTACGTTTTCTAATAAAATTGATTTAAGTCTAGAATTCTAGCTATAACTTTCGTTTACCTATATTTGCCATTCAAAAATCCTTTTCCAAAAATCTAAGAGCCAGTCACACACACATACGTGCGTCTTGAAGGATTCCACTTAGACAAACACACACACACTGCGACACACACACACACACACATCGAGGGCAAGTGGTAAGTGGCCTCTCACTCCCACAATACATGCACTCAAATACCGCTAGTCGGAAAACCTTGAGAGCAAATGGAAACCCGAAAAGAATTCGAAAAATAGAGAAAATAGGGAAAATACAACCCAAAATTCAAAACCAAAGCAAAGTGCAGAGCCGAAAGAAAAATGCTGGCGAAAGAGACAGAACAACCGATTGCAACTGTGGGTGCGAAAAAAGAGGTGAGAAGTGGGTGGCTAGCCACCCACTCTGGGGGAAAGAAAAACTGTCACAAGGCCATTAACAAAAGCCTGAGACTGACTGCCAGGAGGTTGGACGATGATGGAAGATGCAGGCGCAGTGGGGGTAAAAAAACCAAATTAAAATTGCGAGGCGAAATGAAATCGGCACAGCCAGCCATAAAACACCCACTTTTCCACAGAGAAAAAGTTGGAAAATAAAGTTTTTTAGGGTCATTTAAAATATAAGCAAAATTTTATTTTTCTACATTACAATAATGTTTTGAATGAATATTTGCATAAACTATCACATATAAAGAAAACCAAATTTATTATGTATTAAAAAATAAAGCACTTCATCTATATTTCAATAAGAGTGTACTGTTTTAATTTGGAATATTTTTAAGCTGCAGAAAAGATATATTATTCAACTTTATATAATTATTTAACGATAATTGCTTTTAAAAGCCAAAGGAGATGTTAATTTAAAACTGACATGAGCTTTTTTCCACCTGTGTTAATGTTTTTAAAGGCAAAATGAAATGGAAAATGCGAGAAGAGGGCGGTGGGCTGATGTATTGCATAAGTTCACATGAGTGGGCGTGGCCCGTAAGCGTTTGTGTGTGTCTGTGTGTACGAAAAGGATCCGCTGATTTTCATTTCATTGCGTCGTGCATTTGATTAACCATCTGGCGGCGACATCTCTGGCCAAATTGAGCATGTTGCCAGCTCTTGGCAACAAATTTCGGAGGAGAAGCTGGGGAAAAGCGGGTGGAAATCGGGAAAACTCTGTGCAAAGGGGCAGTGGGGGAAATGCACAACGAACAATTAAGTGCACTAACCAATTGAGAGGGCTTAATTGCGACCAACTGATCCGGCAATTTGCGTGGCATGAAATTGGGTTAGCTTAGGATTTGCTGGGTAAACATTATCCACAGTACACGTACACAGTGGAAAATATCACATATTTTAATACTTCTGGGTATGAACATTTAAAACTTAACTCATAAATATTTTAAGTTAATCAATTGTTTACTTTATTTTAGTATTTTAAAAAATAAATTAAATCATATTGTTATTTATATACCCCAAGAACATTATTATGGTTGCTTTGCTGTATATATTTTTTATAAGTAGCATTTTTAAGCAATCAAATTTATTTTTAAAGCTGTTTAAAACTCAACTAATATAACTTGGTTGTTAAAGTGTGTTTCAGGTTTTCTGTTTATCCCTCTTCATAAAACTTCATTAAAAAAATGAGTGTTCCCTTTTTGGGGTTTTCTTATTTTTTTCCATTTTTAATAAGCACACGAGAATATAACAATCCCCTTAGCTTTTCACATCCCCCTTTTTCTCCATTTCATGCGGTTGCCTGGGAAAGTGTTTAAAAAAAAACTAGGAAAACCTCGAACCTGTAACATGGCAACCCTTCGTTATGACAACACAATTAGTGAAAAAACAATTGCTAGGAAAATCAGATTGCCAGGAAAACCTCGCCAGATAGTTGACAATATTCCAGGAATTCAACACAATCGAGAGTACATCATAGTATCCCACTTGCTCTCAGATTTTTCAACGAAAAAAACCACAAAATGAAAACCCAAGGAAAATACGGAGTGACAGCCACGGCAGCTGCCCAAGTTCTCTGCGAGGATGTGAGAAATTTCAGCACACGTCGCCGCAATATTCTCTATCTAATGCATCGATATCTGGTGGAGAATGGCTTCTATTCGAGTGCCGAGTCCTTGAAATCCGAAGGACGTCTCTCCGAGGAGTACGAGCTGTGCGACAATATCGACCTGGACGGCATGTACCTGGAGTATGCCAGCTTTTTCAACATGAAGTTCGGTAAATACCCCAAGATCCTCAAGAAGGCGGGTCCCAAAATCAAACTAGAAATGGGCGGTAAGTCGCAGGAAAAAAAGGAGTCCAAGGAGCAGCCAGCAAAGAAACCACAAAATCCAGAGGCTTCTGTGGCCAATTGGCATTTGAGTGTGGGTGCGGCAACAGCTGCCTTGAGTAATGAACCGCTGCAGATCAAGAAAATGGAAACTACTACCGCGGTCGAATCGAACACACAGGAAAATGCCTGTGAAATAGAACACGGTCATTTGGGTTCGGATGACAATCTATTCAGCTCGCTGGACTGGCAATCCCTGGCCGAATTGGTCAAGACATCGATACTGCAGGAGAACATAAAACTTCGCTGGTCGGATGTCTGTGGCAATCAGCGGGCCATCGAGTTGATCAAGGAGGCCGTGCTGACCCCCATCGAGTTTCCCCAGTTGTTTGCCCACGGCTTGAAGCCCTGGCGATCCCTACTCCTCCACGGACCCCCAGGCAGTGGTAAAACCCTTCTGGCCAAAGCCCTCTACTCGGAGACCCAGGGTCAGGTGACGTTCTTCAATATAACGGCCAGCATAATGGTCAGCAAGTGGCGCGGTGAGTCCGAGAAAATCTTGAGAGTGCTCTTTCACATGGCCGCGAAACGGGCTCCCTCTGTCATTTTTCTCGACGAGATCGAGAGTTTGACCTCCAAAAGAGATAGGGCCACCGACCACGAGAGCTCCAAGCGCTTTAAGAACGAACTTTTGCAGCTTTTGGACGGCATGGAGCACACTTTGAACGGGGTTTTTGTCTTGGCCAGCACCAATTTACCCTGGGACATCGACGAGGCCTTTCTGCGGCGCTTCGAGAAGAAATTGCTGGTTCAATTGCCCAATGAAGCGGAGAGAAGTTGCCTGATCAGCCGTCTTTTGGGCAGCAGTATCTCCCTGAGTCCTAGATTACTCGAGCATCTGGTGGAGATCTCGAATCAGTTCACTGGAGATGAAATAAGGCTGGCCTGCAAGGAGATCAGTATGCACCGGGTGCGTTGTGCCACCAAGATTGCGGATCGTTCGACTTGTCCACTTAAGGAATCCCAGGCCGCCATCGAGGCCAATGTGGAGAAGGCCTTTCGGCAGGTTCGTCCTTTGGGCCAGAAACTGTTGGCCAAGCACGAGCAGTGGCAGCAGGAAAATGGCTCCTAAGCTGGAACTACAGATCAATTACTTTGTAGTTTAATATATATTTTGTATAAGCCTCTAACCGACAACTAGTTCAATTGCGTTTTTTTTCTAAAGTAAAGCAATATTAAAATGTATAAATGATGTTTTATAATGGGACTGTTGGTAGTTTTCACGGTTCTCTTAAATTCCTCAAAAATTGTCGAAGAATTGATCAACGTTTATATGATAAATTTGAATGTATATTTTAAGAGAATACAATCACAAGTCTTTAGAGGTATGTCACTTTAAAATCGAACTAAATTTGGTAAAGTTATGGACTGTGGAAGTCCGATTGTGGGTCATCTTTTTACAAATCATCGGAAACTTAGAAATAAGTAACATGAAAATGTGTCAAAAATTTGATCAACGTTAAAATGAAAATTTTGAATGCAGATTTTTAGAGAATCAAATCACAAGTCTTTAGAGGTATGTCACTTTGAAATCGGACTAAATTTGGTAAAGTTATGGACTGTGGAAGTCCGATTGTGGGTCATCTTTTTACAAATCATCGGAAACATAGAAAAAAGTAACATGAAAATGGGTCAAAAATTTGATCAACGTTAAGATGAAAATTTTGAATGCAGATTTTTAGAGAATACAATCACAAGTCTTTAGAGGTATGTCACTTTGAAATCGGACTAAATTTGGTAAAGTTATGGACTGTGGAAGCCCGATTGTGGGTGATCTTTCTACAAATCATCGGAAACTTAGAAAAAAGTAACATGAAAATGGGTCAAAATTTGATCAACGTTAAAATGAAAATTTTGAATGCAGATTTTTAAAGAATACAATCACAAGTCTTTAGAGGTATGTCACTTTGAAATCGGACTAAATTTGGTAAAGTTATGGACTGTCGAAGTCCAAGTGTCGGTCACCTTTTTACAACTCATCGGAAACTTAGAAATAAATTGACAAATTTGAATGCAGATTTTTAGAGAATCAAGCCACTAGTCTCAAGAGGCATGTCACTTTGGAATCGGCTTAGATTTGGGTAAGGATTTAAAATAGATAAAAGTACTATTTTGATTACTGGGATTTGGGAGCCCGCTTTTTCGTTACCTGCCCGTGGTGCGTCTCCTGGCACCGGCGATCGTCATCCGGGACACGTATCTCCGGATCCTGCCGCTCGACCTGCGCTGCGTGGTGTTCCCGGTGGTCACCGACTTGACGCTGTACTCCGTGGCCGTGGAGCTGCGGCGATCGCTGGTCATCAGGTCCGAGCACATCGATGAGGACAGAATGGAGGCGGCCGATCTTCGTTTTCCTCCCGTGAATGTTCCGCCGCCACTCGAGGATGTGGTGGTGGCGGAACTATCGGATCTGGAGAACAGCGAGGACCTCTTGCTACGACTGGAGGAGCCCGTGCCCGTCGCATCCTGGATATTGCTGTAGAACTCCTCCGTTTCCCGGTCGTAGGTCTCGTCCTCATCGTCCTCGTCCATGGGATCCTCCTCGAACTCCTCGGCTTCCGCCTCTGTTGCCATCGTGTCGCTGCGCTGACTGAGTCCCCGATGGGCACGGTTTCCATTCGAAAGGGACGAGGATTGCTGCTGCAGCTGGTAATACTCATGGCAATCTCCACGGGAGCCCCGGGATCTACTGCTGCCACTCAAGTATCGATAGGGAGCCGAACTGGAGTTGCTGGTGGTGCTCAGGGAGTGACGTTTATTCGGACTTATGTCGAGGCCACTACCACCATTGGTGACCTCAGCGCCATCGCTGTCGCCGCCGCCCACACTTCCACTGAAGGTGACCTCGTGGAATTTCGAGGATTTCCGGCGTGTCCTGGGCGCCATTCCCTCGCCACCACTACCGTTTGCTAGGGAAATCGAGGGCCTCGGCCGATTGTTATTCTCCCCCTTCTGATCCTGATCCTGATCACTGCTGCGATGATCCCGATCCGCGCCCTCTGGCATTAGAGTTAAGGCCAAGGCGGGTCGACCTCGTTTTCGGCTCCAGGGAAAGGCCCGAATAAATGCAAAGATGATAAACAGCGTGGCTATCATCTTGGTACACACACAATCTCAACTGCTTTCTCTAGAGAATCCTTGTTCCCCTAGAAAATCGCACGCACATCCTTTGCCATTTTCGTCGTCGTTGTTTTGAGTTTAAGGTTTAAGGTTTTAAGTTTTAGGTATTTATTTAAGTTCTTTTGTCACTTGATGTCGTTTTATTGTTTGCACTGGCTCGTCATTTTAATTAGTTCAATTTCGTATTTTCGGTTTTTCGATTTGGTTTTCTATTTTCCACAAAACAGAGAGAATGCGTGAGTGAATGTGTGTGTAAGAGAGAGAGAAAGACCGGAACCGGAAGTCCTGCTGACAGGAGGTGGGGTGGAAAAAGGGGGCTGCAGTTGACAGACACGTGGCCCGAATGATGGATCAACGGTCAGTGCTGACAGCTCCGGGAAAATGGGAAAAGCCAGCGGGAGAAAATACCATTTCCTGGTGGCAGTGTTGTAGTTTAAACTTATTTTGGAATAATGTGTGTACCCACAAAAAAAAAACAAAATACCGATCACAAAAAAAACCAAAACAAAATATAGTACAATAACTTCATGGGAACTTTTTTAATAAGTAAAAAATCCAATTAATTTGTTGTTATTATAATTTTAAAAATGTCAAATAAAATATAGTATTTATATAGTTAAAAAAAATATCTGAACGATAAGTAATTAATGCAGGCTTATAACAATCTTTTTTTTTTCAGGAGAAGTTCTTAAATTTTCTGTTTTAAATCACTTTAAAAAATCCCACATTTTTCTCCAAGTCACAGTGAAGCAGCAGTCACCGCTTGGCAAACATATTTAAACCCACTGCAAATACATTTTCCACTCACTGTGTGTTTGCCCGTTTCCTGATCTACGCTTCATTTGCTTTTTGTTTATCTGTTTGCCACTGCTTCATGTATATATATATATATATAGTATAAATGGTATGGCGTATATGTGTGGATGTGCGAGTTTCGTTCCGATTGACTGACAAAAAAACTGGGGGGATAAACTGATGGATAAACTGATGGATAAACTGCTGGATAGACGGTTGTCTATCTAGCTGCGAGTGATTTTTATGCGCAATTTTGATGGCGCTGCGAGAATATTATGATAATCAATGCACAATTATTGCACACACACATGCACACACACCAGGATATGGGATATGGTGCATAAAGGACTCTAAGTGCAGGGCAACTTTTCTCTTCCTATTTTTTATTTTTTTTTTTTTTTTTTGGTACTCGAGTAGCATTTTAGCCTTTGTTAACGTTCCTTTTCCTCTTATTTTGCCTTGTTAGGAACACAACAAAAATTGTCCAAGTTGTATAGAGAGCGCAGGATAGCACCAGCAACAACAAGGGGCATTAAGGACCCTCAGATGAGGTTTTGTTGTTACCTGAGCGGCTTACCCAACTGATGATGCTCTTTACTATCTCTATCTCCTCCTCCATCATCCTGCCCACCCATGCTGTTGACCTAAACTAGCTACTTTTTAGTTCAACCATAATTGAAATGATTTAACAATGAGCCGGCGATACGGAGAAATGATGAGGCGGGAGGGAGGAGATGAGGGATTAGGAGGATGGGGATTTTCCGGGCTCGGAATACTAGGAAAATTGACCACAACAAGTTGTTCGAAGAGTTTAAGTTGCCAATTTCGAAGAGATCAGAGTTACAAGCCCTCAACGTTGGAATCATTTTATATCCTGGTCAGTGCAGTTTTTTTCTGCACCTTTGATCTTATTAAAACTAAGTTTACCATTCGTAGTTATTTGGTTTTGTATGTCCATCTACAATTAAGCCCTAGTTTTGGAAGGAATAGGACATCTTGGTATAACTTTAACTGACTTGTATATAACGTTTTATAATTGGTAATTGTTATGTTGAGTAAAAAGTAAAACTAATGTAATTTCAATCTGTTAGTCAGCCGACTTTTTTTCTCCTTTCATGTACCAAAAACAGGAATTATTCAGACAATCTTAAACCAACTCAATTGCGTTTAATTAAAGTTATCTAAGGGCAACGAGGGCAGGAAGCGTAACATATTCTAAGGGAGGGAGAAGATGATGAAGCTGCTGCAGAAACCCTTGGCACACGCACTACTTTTTAATTTGTTTAAATTGCATTAAAAAAAGGAAAAACCGAGAGGTAAAAACTAGAAACAGCGACCAGGAAAACTTGCCATGAAGGAGCAAAAAGGATGCGAGAAGAAGTACCATCTAAAGTGAATTAAGCGCAGTAAAAACGCTTTCCTTATTTATATTTCTATATATCTATGGCTATGTACTGGTGAGTGATGTCTAAAGCTTGGTAAATAATTCTAAGCAAAATGGTGAAAATATAACAAAAAGTTCAATTTAATTAGCCAGAGAACTTTAGCTTGAAGTAAATTAAAAATCCTAAAGGATTTGTGAAGTGAAGTCCAGGGAAATTCAATGAAAATGGATTTGATGAATAAATTAGTGATGTATTTTGTTATTTGTAGTAAGTAATTATATTTGAATTGACATGTTTTTACTCTTATTTTTACGAGTCCCCTAAGTAAAATTTAAAAAATGTAATGAATTTAATTTGTAGGACGAGTAGGAAAAATGCCAAACAAGTATATTTTTCGATTGCCATTACAGCGCCATCTAGCGTCAAAAGGCTGCAACACAGGTGGCACTGCAATATCCTTAGAATCTTTGGCTCTTAGAGTTTTCTCAAGCCAACCCTCACCCTCCCCTTCCCCCATGATTACTCAAACTCTTTATCTCTTGTGGCCGGCTTATCGCCCCCCTGTTTTCTCTAAGTGTTGCTAAACAAGCTGGAAACAGGGCCGCGCTTTCTCCGCTTTCTCTTTCCTCTTTCGAGGAATGCCTTGGGTCCTTTTTGCTACTTTCACAGCGACTGCGTCGTCCACATACAAAAACACACATACACTGCCAGTGGCCCACACACAAACAAAAACACACACACAAATATTTCCTTTCAATTCTTTTCCTTTTTTTCCAGCCCTCTGTTGCTTTTTTTGCTTTTCTTTTGCAACTAATTCCACTTTTGCTAGGCGCATACTTGTACAGCAGAGTTCAATGGTTTAAAAACCAAATTGCATTGATAGAA